CTCCCTAACCAGAGCCTTGTGAGAATAATAACCACATTAGACATAAGTGAGCTCCTACTGATGACAGTACCAGAGATGTCACTGACGTAGCTGCCAACCCATAAACACACGCATGCATCTGATATGAAGTAATAGGGGGTCAGTGACTGCGACCCGAAGCCTGAGCCTTGGAGTAATTAATGATGTAAGGGTTTCAGATGTCACTGTAAATATCAGATTTAATGACACCTGGAGGTCAGCATGCCCTTGTTGTGTTGAGAGGCAGATGAAGTCAAAGTGGGCAAATGAAAAAGGTTATGAGAGAGAATTTGCCGTAAAACATAACATGACAAAGTACCATGTAGTTTTACAAGCCACTTTATTTATTTTTTATTTTTATAGTAGATTTCCAGTAAGCAACAAGTTGGCTTTGATTTTCAGCAGAGCAGCTGAACAAGCTGATTAGCATTTCTCGCTGTGACCACGGAGAAGCATTCAGCTGTTGACTCAGTTAGCTATGAATGATATTCAAGACAGCAGATTGTGGACAATCTGAGAAATACAGTGACAGAATACTCTCATCGTGGCTCCAAATGTCATTAAGTCAGAGCTTTAATGATGGATTTGAACCATTATTTCTCTAGGTTGGAATGAAGTTACAACATACATGTTCACAGATGTTTTAGCGAAGGTTTTCTTCGATCCACATAGGTTCCAAATTAGGTTTACAATCTCAAATATGTGAATCCACTTTCATGGATATTTGGATAAACATTCCTAACCGAGTTGTACATGGACCACATGTGTTTAGTAGCCATTAACTTGCTCCTGGCATAATGCAGGCTGGGTATTTGACTGTTCTTCTTGGCACCACTGGTATATGGTATTTCATTTATTGATTTTCAATCATCATCCACCTGAAGTTCACAATTGTGTCAAAGTTTCAGCTATCTGACCCAAATCAGATTAAATTAATTAACAAGTTCATTTTAATGGAGAACCTATAAACTACTAAGTCTCCGGTCTATAATAAACTGGAAGATGCTGGAAAATAAGTGTCACTTTCCGAAGTGAATCAAGTAATTTTAGAAAGTTGCTTCAAAGTAAACATGCTTTGAAGCAAGGAGGTTGTTTCAAAGCAATAAAGAACCAAGGCTTCAAAACTGACACATTCAAGCTCTACTGGAATTTGGAGCTGCCCATATGAACAAGTAAACTACCTTCTGTCATTGGATGGTGTTAAGAGTTGAGCAGTTTGGCCATAAAGACAATGACAAGAAACCTAAAAATAGCTAGCAAACATAGAATCACGAAATGACCGTTGAGTTGCAGATGTATTGGACAAAGTGGAGGGAGTGATGGACGACTATACCTCCAATTTCTTAACCTTCTGCTCCAATTAAAAGGCATATGGTTGAAACTTAAACCTGGTTAGGGGTTCCAGCAGGACGATTGTCCCCAGCACACAACCAACCGCTTCAGGAAACATGCTAACACTCACCTTTTGGCTTGAACGTCAACCCTCTTGAAAATTTGGGAAATAAGCTTAAAGGTTAAGTCAATTCCAAAAACAATGTCCAACAACAAAAGTAAGTTTGACCATTTCTGATGAGAGTATTTTGAAGACATATGACAGTAGAAATTTGCTTTCCTGCTCCCCCTACATTCAGCAGAAAGGTTTACATTTAGCATAATATTTAAGGTGGATGAGCAAGTAGTCTTATGCATATCCAACACAAAACAGTGATATTTTGGTTGTTAATTAAATTTAATGAATTATTTGTAATTAAAAAATGGTTTGAATATAATTTCCCTTGAGATTTAGTAGGAGGAACAACAGATATGTTTTATATTTTCTTCTTTAATGAACAAGAATCTTTTATTTGGTCATGACTCCTGAAATTGTGATTCATACTTTTCTCTATAAGTTTGCATTTTGATTCTACTTTGAAGTTCAGCAATAAGATGTTGGGATTTATTTACCACAGTTTGAAAATGTGGTGTTGAAACCCAGGTGGTATATCTGCCGTGGTTAGAAGTCAGGACCGCATAACAACCTGTGGGAGTGCAGAACAGTGTAGAGGTCACAAAATGAGACAAAATGAATGAAAATTAATCATGATCATTCTTTAATCATTAGGTCTGTTCTCCAATTTCAAGCAATTATTTAATAGATCTTAGATTTTTTTTAAAACAACAACTTTAATCGAAATAAACAAAAATAATTAAAAAAAATTAAAAACTAGTAAAACGTAGTATTTTTTTCCTGTTTTTGATTTTCGTCCCCTATATCATACAGGACCCAGTTTTATTGACAGATTGATCTCATTTGACTCTTTTGGTTTATTGAACTTTTAAACCTTTTGGGTATAGCAACACAATTTTATCAGACTGCAAAAAACGTAGATGTTCTGAAGAAGACACTGAGCGCAATTTAATTCTTCACAAAATATCAACAAAAATGGAGCGACGGAGGATTTTGGCGGTTATAGGGTTTCTCTTTTGTCTCTGACAAAAGTCAGCATGCCATTTCTTCTGCTAGCGCTAGAATCTGTTTGGGTTGGATTTACCCAGAATTCCCTGCGCTCTAGTCCGTTTCCTGCTTTTGGAACGGTCTCCAGTCTGCTTGGCGTTTACACATCCCTTCAAATCCTGCCAGAGTTTTCTTCAAACGAACTGGGGTCGAGGTTTTTGAGCAGAATACACCTAGTTTTCAACCACACATGCTGTTTTGACATGTAGCCAGATTGTTCAGTTTTACTGACTTATTTTTTCATGTTTGCTGTGGACCTACATGGCAAACAGCTTCTCTGCAGCTCCTCCAGAGCTACCAGAAACTGTTTCAGCTGCTTTGATTGTCACCGTCTTTGCCAGCCTGATAGACGGTCAGGTCTTGGTAGGCTAGTGGTTGTGCTTTACTTGTTCCATTTTTGGATGATGATCCATGAAATGTTCATAGGGATATTATTCTATAATCTAATTTACCTCCCTTTTTTGAACTATCATTTTTTTTGGCACTAATGGCCATCATTGACAGTTACCAGACAGGAAATGGGCAGAGAGAGAGAGAAGAGGGGAAAACATGCAACAATTATATTTTTTATTTTATTTTTCTTTCGTATATACTGTAGTGGTCTATCTAAACTTCCCTACATCTCTCTGCTGTGTTCCTGTCTGTTTTTTCACTTATGTTTCGTAACAAACTTTTCATGCCTTTACAAGAACTGTTGTATTTGTTTGGAGATTAAATTACGCAGAATGAAGGCAGTTGGCAGCACTGATTTTTGTTTAGATGTAGGCTGAGTGCAAATGCACAAAACTCTTTTCATGTAGTTTTATTTATAAATAGCATAGAAAGCCATGTACCGTTTTCACAATATAAAATTTATTTTTGTTAGTTTATCTCATAAAATCTCAGTAAAATACACTTGAAACTTGAATTAATTGGGTGTGAACACAACTGTACATTTACTGAACAGCGTTACTCTGACCACACTTTCTGCCCGGCGGACATTAACAAGATCTGCTGTATCTGTGGGTTTTCTCCCAGGTACAGATTGGGCTCTCCGGGAGGTAAGACTGACACTTTACATCTTTATTAAAAGTACAAGGGAGTAGCTTAGAGGTTTGTGTTCCCTGGATACACCACATCTATTTATTATCATTCCCCCACCGTGACCCTATCTTTTTATTTTAGCATGCTGACTCATCTGCTGTTCATTTCCGAAAACCACACAAGACGTCTAGGTTTACATCGCCATACTGTCCGGACCAGGGGAAGTGGGTTCAGGGATTTGGCACGGTATCTGCCTACATAGCAGTTAATGGAGACCAAAGCAACAAATACTCGAGCTTAAAAACAAATTATTCTTATGTTTTGTTTTAATAGTTACTTTAAACTGACAAGGCATTGGAGAGGACAAGTAATGTAACATTTTTGCTGATTTATGTTGTTTTCAACTCTAACTCTCTTCACTGATTTGGCACATGATTAAAGGTGCTTCTATTTAAAGGGACAGTTCAGAAGAAAGAAGCAGTTATTGCCTTCCCACCAGCAGGACTTTGTCTTTTCACTTTTATTTAGTTCAAATTATTCTGCGAGGTGCCCCCAGTCCAAGGGGGACAAAGAGCAAAGAGAACTTTTCCTGACTCAAAACAACTCAACTCTCAAACTGTCATTGCAGTTAAGGAAAATGCATTTGTAAACCTTTAAATTGTTATCTTCGCTTATATATATATATATATATATATATGAACATATATGAACAGAACTTTGCTTGTTCCGTTCACATTACTTGCTTGACATAGGAAGGTTAATGATGACACACCACCTCCAACTTCCATTTCCTGTGCATGTACTCACCTATTTCCTCGTAAATAAACGCTCAATGCGAATGCGAGAACCGGTTAAGGGTTTATAAAATGGCATCAGAATAAACTATTTTATGAAATCAGAGAGAGGTCCGCTTTGACCTTTGCCCATCTCTGGCTAGTCTTTACCATCAGCCTTCAGAACAAACTAATTTGCATTCATACTAAATGAAGACACCAAAAGAGTTATTTACCGTAGCTAAGATATAACCTTTTTTTCATAGAATCTCACTTTAGAAATCCCAAAATAATGGAGTTGAGAGAATATTCTCTCCAGCGCTGGCGGATCTATAATTAAAGCGTGACGTAACAGACTTGCTCTCAGCTGTCCGAAACCGCTTTGGAATCTGGGTGGAAATGTCAGAACAAGGCCAAAGCAGCACATGGAAAAGAAGAAGACGAGAAGGAGCTTTTCAGGATGTAGGGGCTGTAGTTGTCTGTGTGTGTGTGTGTGTTGGGTTGGAGGGGGGCACAGGGGTCAAATGTAGTTGCTTGATATCTATATCCTGGCAACAGAGAGTGAGTGATATCTTGTACAACTGTAGCAGGGGATTGGTCAGCGGGTCGGCCAAGGCCCCTCCTATCAGCGCAGCAGCCTAAGAAAAAAAATACCTAAATTCAAAACATCTCTGAAACTTTCCCCACTCTGCACTGTACCCCCCGGCACTTTAACCAAGGCCTCTTTAGTTGTAATCTATTAATGTCTGTGGAGGTCATTTGCTTTTGCTGTAAGCTAAGTTTGGTTTTGTAGCTCAAGCACTGGTGTTTCTTCACTTAGCGCTCACGACAAGCTGGTTCAAAGTGAAGTTTGGCATGACAACATGAACTCACCTTACGCAGCTTTGCAGTATTACCCAGAGTTTCCATTTCGTCGGTAAGTACTCGCGTAAACAGTTTTGATATCATGAGATTGTTCAGCCGGATACTTAAAAGGCTGTGATTAACAATGACAGATGAACTGAAAATTGGTGCTTCTTATTGCTATTATCTTAATAGCTTTGCTTTTGGGGGTAAAAAAAAAAAAAAAAAGACTGTTAATTGCTAATAATGGAAACATCCTGTCCTTTGTTTGATGCCGAGTGTGTGTGGAGGTCCAAAGCACCCTGACGACGGTGGCGTCTGCCCGGATCCTCAGCTGCTGCTTGGTCCTGATATATTTTTGTGTGGCTCACCTATGGCAACAGTGATAGTGTGGAGAGGTATTTAGGGCTGATAGCAGACACAAGACCGTACCCAAGGATCTTCATCTGATAAATTATTTAAAGAGGATTAAACTATGAAGTTCATGTAAAAAAAAAAAGAGTTTTTAATAAGGGGGCTTCTCGTTCAGTGGGTGACCCAGACTGATCCCTATTTTTCTCAATCCATGAAAGCCTTTGACAGCTTTATTTACCAAGGTGATGATTATGATGACATGTCATATTATGGTAACTTTACAGTTGTGTGATGAGAAATTAAGTGCATTTTTGGCATTAAACTGGTATTATTTTATCACCTGAATTTGGGTGCCCTAAATTAATTGATATGCATTTGAATTTAAATCTGCCTATATGATTGGATTGTGCTTATATGAACTGGGCCGGTTATGAGTTGGACTTCTTTACCTTGACATTTGCTCGTCTCAGTGCTATATAGGTAAATTAAACTGCTCAAAATTTAACTTAAATCGTATTATTCTGAAAATCTGGAAGTAGCTACATGCTACTACTTACGGAAAAAGATTATACATTTCCAGAAAAACAAACCCCAACAAAAAACAATGCAAAAGAATTAAATAACTTTGATGGGAAAATGAAGAAAATAGGTTAAAGTAAAAAAAAAAAACTAATAATAATAATAATAATAAAACAGGTTAAAAAAAGAAAAATAATAAAGAACACTGGTAAAAAACAAAACATAAAGAGCAGTTATTTATATCAATTACTGATTTTATATCAGTAAATTTATATTGATATAAAATCAATTACTGAAAAATGTATGTATTTATCTATTTTACTTTTAATAAAAGGTAAGGAGCTGATCTAGGTATAACATTGATTAGAAATATAAAAGAGTAAAAACACTGAGAACACAAAGGGAAAAAACATATAAAACAAGCCAAACAGTATAAATCTAAATAGAAAACAAATTCAATTTCAATTTCCACTCGGGTGGAAATTGAACATATGCTAGAATACATTAGCACAATGATCTAAGTCTAGTGATTATAAGTGCAGTAAATCATTACAAATTCATCAACATCTCAAGAGTTTAAATCCCTTCATCTTTTTCAGTTTATTTCCAGATCTACATCCTTATCGATCTGTTCATCTTTTCTTACCAAATCTACACCAGAAGGCTTATTCCAGCAGAGTTTGTTTCTTGTTTCTATGGAAATTGAGAATGTCCTCACAGCCTTTTAAATTTCCTGTATAAAAAAAAAGACCAAAGAAAATCTTCTCTTAGTTTTTTCTTAGTAAGGCTGTGATCAGTGGCTCTTCAAACTGTCTTTGTGAATGAAAAACTTAGTAGCCTTAATTTTTTTGTGGTTAAATTTTTCTCTACAAGTGTCTATTCTCTCCCCCTAATGAACAAACCGCCATGTTTTCACTACCATTTAACTGTTTCGTCTCCCTAAAAGTAAGGGGATAAGAGAAGGGGCACTGGGGCTTTCTATTGTTTTGCAGTCATGTCCCTCTTCCAGTCGGGTCTGATGGATGAGGGGGGGAGACGGTTCTTAAAGCCTTTGAAAAGTGATTAATAACGACACTGGAGAAGGGCCCCCGATAGCCCGGGCTGTTTGTTTTGATTGCATTTTCATCGGCCGCTGTGCCCAACCTGCCAAGAGACAATGGCCGTCCCTGTTTAGCGATGACCTCTGGCCCTGTCTCGTCTGGAGGCGCTGCGCTGTGTTTAAGTGGATGCTGAACAGCCTTTGCCTCTGGCTACCTGAAAAACTCTCTGAGTAACCTGACACCACAAACGCACAGAAACCAACTGCGAGAAAAAGGGATAATACCCTCCAAACCAGTGGAGCAAAAATAAATTGTTACATGAAATAAAGAGAAGCAAAAGAAAAAATTATTGGAATAAACCCTAAAAGAAAGAGATGGAATTACTTTATGCCATGTGTATCTGCATAAAACAACATTGTTCTTTGTAAAATGTCATTTTTCCAAGTTCAGTTATTGTTATTTTTTTCTTCTTTTTTAAAGGGGTGAATTTTTAAAACTTGTTGATTTAAATGTTGAAGTGTGAATGGAAAATTTGTATACCCTAGTCTGAAGACTGACATTGTTGCAGTAGTATTATATGTACTGTTATGATAAATCAGAAACTAGATTACAAAAAGTGAGCAAGCCACACGTGAGTAAGTTTGACCTGTTGATGTATGATGTGAATAATTTAAAAATGTATTCAAGGTTGTTTTTCTCACTATAAACCTGATGCTCTACTTTAACTCATGCGGTCTGGTCTATCTGGTCAAAATAAAATGCTGAAGGAGAAAGATTAGAGTTTTTTACAGAATAATGAGATGACTGTTAAACTAGTTTGACATAAAAGACCGAGGATTAAAGCTACACTTAAAAAGAGCTTAACACAATTAAAGCCCTGGTAAAAACACACCTTTATCTGCTCCATTTGTCAGACATGTCACAGGTTCTCTATCTGCTGTTCAGCTAAGCTGTTAACTGGTATATATCGCGACATATATTCATCTCGCGATATTTTAATATTGGCACACTAATCAGTGAGGCCTCAAGGACGTCTACGAAACACCGGCCGTTCGTTGCATTGCATATTTCATTACAGGTAATTTCATGACCGTAGTTTGAAAAAATACGTCAAAGTTACACGAACTCCTCATTTTGTGCAATTAAGGGGAAAAATTTAGGATATTTATATGTTTTAATATTAGCGCGGTTAGCTTAAAGAGTTTCTGAGATAGCCGAATATATGCTAGTCTTGTCATGTGCAATTAGCTTATTAGTGAGAAAACCCGAGCGGCTTTTTGTAATATTTATGGTATTCTGGTGGATAAAGCACTTGCTGAAGGTAAATGTAGCTTTTCGTCAAACATATGCTAATACACCCAGTGGAATAAAAGTTTAGTTTAATATTAGTTGTCCTAGCTTGCAAGTCAAAGAAAAGTTGTTTTAAGCACATTCATTGACTAATTCACGAACTACGTCGCCCGTTTTTTAAAGGAAGACTTCACTTATTTTGTCTCTAAAATATAACCTATTTCAGCTTAAGTTATAATTTAAGCTGAATGGCTCCACAATTAATTTACAAAATGTAATAAAAACTAGTACTTTATCAGAAAGAGTCACATGCTAGGCGATATTTTCTTAATACTTTCTATAAAACTTCTGCTTTAAAAAAAACACAGATAGTAGAATAAATCCAGATTATTTAGCACACAGTGTATTATTGAGAAAATAATATTATTGTATTATTTTATTATTATATTAATAATAAAATAATATTTTATTATTATTATTGTATTAATTATTGTATTAATTAAAGCTCAGTCAAAAATATGTCTTTTTTTTTTTTGTTTTAATCCAGACCACTTTACACCAGGTGTCATAAATGTGGTGGAAAGTATCTAAAAGGACATGGGTGGAAGGGGATGAAAGACTTGTTGGAAAACGCCAAAGTCTTAAGACTAGTTTCCTTCTAAATACAAAAACATTTCCCATGTTCCAATGCATAATAAGAATCTCTCCTACAGTCAGAATTGTGACCATTTAAGTCAAAAGTACTGGAAAACTGATAGTTGTAAATTAAACAGTGTTCACAAAAAACTAAATCTTATTAATAAAACTCATGGTCATTGAAAAAAGTAAAAATCTATATCCAAAACTAGAAGCAATTTTTCACAAATTACCAAGGTTCTAATAATCTATTACTCAACATATTTATTTCAGACGTGTTAGAAACACCAGATGGAACTAAATTAGTTACTCTGGTACCATTACCAGTTAATTAATAAATAGGTATCAGAAATTAATAAAACTAACTGAATTGGGGGGGGGAAAGCTAACTAGAGTGAGTCCAAAAAGATAAATACACAATTTAAACATGGAAATGACACAGCCAATACAACCATTAGCCAATTTAGTCATGGCATTAAAATGAAGTGAACTAATTTAATCTTGTGTGGAAGCATGGTTTTCACAGCTGAGCTTGATTTTAGTTAACAGGTGTCAAAATACTGTTCAAAATTTCTCATTTTTGAACTTTTACAAGTGGATTTAAACCTTTTCTCATTAAAATTTCTGTTTTAGTGAATCTTTAAACAGTGTAGCACTATCCCATTCACACTAGCCTTTACTGCTGTAGTTTTAATTATGTACATGGTTTGTGAGAACACAAAATTTGCTTCCTTTTGTATTTTCATAAACAGAAAAAGATGCCACAGATTAGTGTTGTGAGGTGTTGTTATTGAGCTTTCAATAATAATATGTGTATTTATTGACAGAACTCATGTGCAGTGGTTCAGGTTGCTAAATAAAACCAGCTGAGGAGACGTTTACCGAACTGCTGAATCCAATTTGAAGTCCTTTCAGGCTTAAACCCAAAGCACTGTGGAGTTTCTAATTGTCAGTGCACTTAATAAACTCAAGCTTCAAACTTGTTCTCCAACTACAAAAGTGTGACACTGAAGGGCTTACTCATCAGCAGGACAAAAACAAAAACATCCCACCCGCAGTATTATTATTATTATTATTATTATTATTATTATTCTTTTTTTTGACATTGCAAGCTGAAACGTAATCCCTCATCTGAAACTCTACAGTCCCCCGTGGGTGTCTGGCGGATAATTAGAATTTTTTGCTTCATTAGATATGCCTGTGTTTCTTAAGTCAGGTATTAATATCCTTCATCACACAGCGTTGGGGAATTCCAAAACCTAAAATAGTGCCAGCTTCGGATCACGGCTGCCCCCGTCAGCCCACCTCTCGGGCTCGTCCGGCTGCACACGCATACCAGAAGCGGTGGCAGCGCTATCGCATAGACCATGGGGGGAATTCCGCTCGCCTCAGACTGCAGCGCGTGCGCCGCTTCCAGCAGGAACAATGGTGGTGCCGGGCTCTGCGGCAGGTGTAATGTTTCAGGGGAGCAGGTCAAAGTGCCTCTGTCTGAATGGTGCATAATCACCATTATGTGTAGTACAAATATTCAGTATTATGCAGGCTGACTTCTTCACAATGGATGTGACTTCAAGAATGGCTGCCAGCAGGACTCCTCCTTCTTTTCTTCCCCCTGACTGGGTGGCCACATCTCAACCCTGTACATCAACTCTGACTCTGTTTGCTGACTGCACACCTTTTTTAAAATAAATAAATAAAAACTACAAATTAAATCGCTTTACAAAACCTGTTTACAGAATTGATAGTTGTAAGATAACTGACTGACGAAGATGTCTCTCTTTGCAGACTCAGGGACCCGTCATCTCTGCTGTCCTGGAGAGAAGGCTCATTATTTACTACTATGAGCCAGCCGGGACAGACGGCTGACTTCTTCAGTCAGGATGTGTTTAACCAGTTGTTTGATATGCTGGACCAGTGAGTGAATATTATAAAAAAACAACAACAAGAAAACATCTGAATTATCCATGGGAATTGGTGACTGAAAGTGACTTTTAAAAATAAATGCCCATGAACAGTGTTCTTGTTTTTGTCTTGCTAAGGTCTGCCATCCATTCAGTCCAGCCCATTGAGCTCAACTTCACCGAGAGTCCGACTGATGGCTCAGCGGGGAACACCATTCAGATCAGTATGGACTGCATAACGATGCATGAGCCAGACGACATGGTTTCTGTGAGTATGTTGATTTCACAGGAATGAGTTTAGCTGTTTTTGACTCTGTGCCTGCTGTCTGAGATTATTAGACTGAGAGATGTAGAGAAGCAGCAATAATGAAAAAACAAACAAAAAAAAAAACTACTACAATTTTAAATATGCACTGCAGCAAATCAGGTGATTTTTCCAATAGGATACAACAACAGCAGCAGTGTTCAAATCTATTTTTGGATCTCTTAAAGCTGCAGTATGAACTTTTACATAATATTTTTTTACATCTTCAAACTGTCACCATGTTGTGACAGTTTGGTATGAAACAGACAATCTGTGAAAATTTGATCTCCCCCACCTCCTTCCAGTGCTACTATTGGCATCTGAGAAAATCCACCACTCCTGATCAAAATCCACCAATCAGAGCCAGGGTTGTATCACTGTCAATCAAGCTCATGCATGTGCTGCTCAATGTGCTAATGGTGGAGAAATAACTTACTGTTCCAGGAAAACTGTATATCCACTGTCATTTGTGGCTGTGCTAACTAGCTTTAGCATTTGTAGTAGGCTATGCTGTAGCCTAGCAGAGAGCAAGTTGGAGGGTGTACACAAGGGTGATTGACAGCGCAGCACACTCCTCCTGACTCAAATTGGTTGTTTCTGATGCAGCTGTGTATTTGATCATAAATTATCTGTTTTAAATTATACTGTCACAACATAATGACTATAACAAGTATGTAAAACATATATATATATTTTTATGAAAGTAACATTCTGTAGCTTTCAGACTGTGACACCATCAGCCACATGAACAGTGTAACATCTGTCTCTTTACCCACCATCAGAAATCACTTTCAGTATGCCTCACTAGAACTTTCAATGCTAAAGCTCTTTCTGCTTTCAATGTTCATGTTAGCAGTGGAATTTCTTTGAGCCCAGTTGTGTAAATGAGGATCTGAGCTGAGCTGTGAGAAAGCCGGTTTATCTGACCGTCAGAGATGTTGTCAGGAAGGATTTTATCTCATCTAGACTGAGCTGCGTTTAACCTGGGTGGCCCCCCGGCTCCTGAGAACAGTAGATCACAAACCGCGTTCATGGTTGGATGGGCACTTAGATTGTCACATGATCCCCTCCAGTCTGAAAATCAAACTAGGCTTTATTAACGCTTGTCACTTTAAGCATAATATCTTTTCATTTAAAAGAAATACATTTAAAAACTGTTTAAATTTTACATTTTCATTGTTTCTTTCTTTGTCTGTCCTTGTCACACATGAAGCCTTAATGTATACAGTGCCTTGCAAAGGTATTTATACTCTTAACCTTTTCACATTTTGTTAAGTTACAAACACAAACTGCAGTTTAGCACCCTACATAATGTACTGGATAACTGTGAAGGAGAACCAAAAGGAAAGTGAATTTCAAAGATTTTAACAAATAAAAATCTAACAAGTGTTTGTGTAGTCAGGGGTCTATATGATATGCTTATGACATTCTAAAAATAAACAAGTGCAGCATATTTCCCTTACAAGTCACATGATTAGCATACAGAGTCCTCCTGTGTGTGATTTAATCTCAGTATAAATGCAGCTGCTCTGTGAAGTCCTCAGAGATTTGTTAGAGAATATAAGTGAACAAAAAGCATCATGAAGACCAGCAGACGGGTCAGGGATAACGCTGTGGAGAAGTTTAAAGCGGGGTAGATTATAAAACAACATCACAAGCTTTGAACAAAAGTAACTAAGTATTTAAGAGTATGGTACGCCTAGGCCTGTTGCAATAAGCAATAAATCAATGAATTGCATGATAAGTTAAAATAAATTCAATTTCCATTAACATGATTTAGGTTGTTTCAAGCAACCATATTATAGTCTGAGACTAGCAAACACAAACTTACCCTTTCTAGCTAGCTAGCTTTTTGTTTGCTCCCATCATGGTTAAGTGGAAATTTATCACCAGTTGGCGGGACAAAGTTCCACATTTCTGTGGAGATGCAGGTTTTAAATTTCCATCATAATGGTCTTAAAAATATCTTAAATTTGAGATGGTGAAACCTAGAGAAACCCTGATAGAGTTGTTGAAGGATGAAATCCATTCAGATCTCATTTTAGTTGTCAAAGTCTCCACAGTGAAACATGGTGGTGGCTGCATCATGCTGTAGAGATGCTTCCACAAGAGCATTGAAGCTGGTCAGACTTGATGTGACGTTAATTCAGAGCGATCCTGGAAGAAAACCTGTCAGAAAACACTCATTACTGGTGCTCATCAGAACAACAATCCTCAATTTGCAGCCAGGACTTTTTTCCAGATCTTACTTTGAAAGAATTTTGAAAACTGTATAATTTTCCTTCTGATTTACACTATTCACTTTGCACAACTTTGTGCTAGTTTGAGCTCAAATTCCAACAAAGTACATTGATATTTTTGGTTTTATAACCAAAAATATGACAAAATGTGAAAAAGTTTTTTTTCTTTTCAAATCACAGTAAGTTAGTAGACTTTGTCCCTATTTGCACAGAATAAGCAAATAATAAATAAATGACTCCCCAATGTCTGCTTTTTTCATGTTGCATTCGCACAGGATTAACAACACAGACAATCATTCTATCAATCAACCAGCCACATTTTATTTGTGTAGCACCTTTCAGCAGCAAGGCCTTTCAAAGTGCTTTACATCATAAAAAACCCAAAATACAAAGTCATATACTTGAACACACAGTCAACAACATTACATTACTATTGAATTATTATAAGTAGTATGTAGTTGCTTCATAAAACTAGAGTTACACCGATCCAATATTAATATCTGTATTGGTCTCAACATTGAAACAAATTCTTGATCAGGTATCTTGACAATCTGTCCGATCCATAAGGGCTGATCTATTTAGTCTAGTTCTATGCTTTGTGCTCTGAGCAACGTAAGTGATTATTTACGTATTTTACATTATATCTAGAATTTATATTTGCCCTTTCTGAACCATTTGAAAGACGGTTTGTTGCAGTTTTTTTTGCATGTTTGACCAATGTAGACACCCTATTGTTTTTTTTTTTAATCAGTTTCTTTATTATTTATTTTCCATTGGCTGTTTTACTTCTAATTGCACTGACTGAACAAATTAAAGTTGTTTTTACATGTTTAGCCAAGCTTGTGAAGCTGTTGATGTATTTAAATGTGCTGTACTGGTGCAAAGTTAGGAAATAAATTCGTAATTCACTACATTTATGTCTCAGTTTCTGAGAGAGAAACTTTTTAATTCAATTCAACACTGTTTTTCTGTATTGGATCGGTATCAACCGATACTAAACCAAAGATATCTTTAACGGTATTGGAAGTGGATCCCTTGAAAAAATGAATCCCATACGAATAGAGACACTTTCACTTATAGAGAAATATTACTATTCTTACAGGTTTAGTTTCAACTAAATTGATGAAAACATAAGTTATTATAGGACATATTTAGATGTCCTATAATTATTTAATAAAGGATGCGCTACATGATCTCGCCTGCGGTTGACCTTTAATGAGGGACATTTACTTGTCGGTTTTGCTGCTTAGAGATGGTGTGTGTTTTCCCCTCCCTGTGTTGGAATGTCGTTGTCCAGCCAGAGAGGGAGAAGGAAAAAAAAACACAGCAAATAAAATTTCTGTTTAAGGAGCTGAGTGATGTTACCCCTGTGCATCCCCCAAGGGGGCGTGTGCTCTCTTGAACCGGTGATTAATGGCCCCACCACCCACTTTCCTCCACTCCAAAAGAGGGGTGTGGCTCAGTGATTGGCACGCCAGCAACTTAGGGAGCATCCGTGGCAGCCTGCCAGTCACCAAGCCACGGCTGTTATTATCAAGTCTGCTGTGATTAAAAGCTGTGGTGGGCAAACCCGACCTCACCTTATCCCCCTTCGTCTTCCACTCATGAAAAGGTGTGCCCCCTTTTTTTAAATCTCTGTCTCTCCACTCTTATGCCGCTCAAACACCCCGGGGTGGGAAACTATTTGTGTTGTAGGGTTTGTGTTTAATCTGAAATTCCTTTTTATTCTGGATTTTCTTTTCTATAGCTTCAGGGCAAGAATTTACCACAGCACCTGCCTCTCCTGCAGAGGTCTCCGCTCCCATCTATCAGTGCTTCTCCAGGTAGAGGTGGGGGTCGGAACAGAGAAGGTGGTGGTGGGGGGTGGAGGAGAAGATTGAATAACATGAGGAATGTAGCAGGAATAGAGGCTGGAGAGAGGCTCTGTCCCGGCCCAAACAGCTGATTTAACCAAGAGATAAAGCTCTGATCAGCTGTGCGTGGAAGATGCAGCGGCTAAGCTGACAGAATGAGGTCCTCTTCTGTCACAGGTCAGAGTTTAAACGGCTTCACCGCGGAGTAGCTCAATCGACACACGGCGTCCCATAGATCTAATTACATGTTTGTGTTGGGGTTTGTGCTGTTTGGCCACACCTCTGCCGCGCCGCCTCCCCCCTCGCTCTGAGCCGGAGCGCAGGAACGTTTTCTACGCCATTTATAAAACTGAACAAAGCGCAGCTCTTATCCTAGCAGTATAAACTAATGGTGAAAGCTACTGATACATTTCTATTCACTCTTCCTTAGCTGTTTGAGTTTTTTTCCTACATTTTACCTGGGAAAATAGAAACGAGGCCAACCACCTTAATTTTGATATTATGAAGGCATCGTGGAGCACAGCTTGACGTTTAACCTGGATTAGGAACAGAACATGATGGAGAGTTTTAATGCTCCGCCAGTTTGCCTCCGGCGCGTGAAGAGGTGCTTTTAAGGCGCAGCTGTTTGTCATAAGATCTTCTCAGAACAGAACAGTCCTGTCACTTATTTTCTAAAATGAACTTTTTTAAAATGTGAAGAAAGTAACCGGAGGATATTTAAAGGCTCAAGTACATATTGTTTTATGAATTTGTATCCAGCAAGTGTTCCTTCTGCATAAATGTTCAAAACATTTATGATTCAAAGGCAATTTTCCTAACATTTACTACAAATATAGCAAAGTTCATACTTTTGATTGATCTCTTCTAGGGC